AGTGCCCCACTACACAAATTTTCGGATACGAACACTATCAGGCTCATGGTGAAGGAGCAAACTGCTTTGGTGGATCCTCAATCCTCATACGAGCAACAATACCGCATACACCTTTACTGCCAATTTGCAACGCAACAATGCAGGTCTCAGCCATCACCCTGCCTACGTCTATTGGAGCGATCGAAGTTGCGTCAATTTATCTTCCGCCAAACACTGGTCTGTGTGATCATCACATGGAACAGGTTCTAGGCCAAAGGTTGAATAAGACCCTCATCGGCGGCGACTGGAATGGATGGCACCCATTTTGGGGAAGCAATAGTGCGAATCGTCGCGGAGAAGTCATATTTGAGGCGATTCAAAACTTACAATTCAGCATATTGGCGACTGGAGCCCCCACCCGTTACCCAATTAATGGACACAGGCCCTCGGCAATCGACTTCGCTGTCTACAAAGGCATCTGTGACCGGCAATTGACCATTGAAGAATCCTTGGACCTATCCTCTGACCACCTGCCACTAATAGTCACAATCCACGCGCAGCCACAGCCCTTGCCCATTAGGAAACAACTACTGCCAGCAGGATCAGATTTAGGAGTCTTTAGGCGCGAGCTCCATTACTCTTTGCACATAGAAATGGAACTTAACACTCCTGAAGACGTGGACTACGCAGCAAACAAACTGCAGGAAGAAATAGTCAAAGCTGCGCACCAAGCCGCCCCACCATCTTGCCAAACAAGACAACAGTCTCCGTACAACATCCCCCTCACCTTGGAGGCCCAACACCTACTAATACACAAAAGATGGGCCAGGAGACGCTGGTTAAGATTACGCACGCCTGATGCCAAATCCATGTACAACGAAGCCACGAGGCATCTTAAAGCTGCTCTCGCCCTGCTTCAAAAGAGGTGTATCAGCGATGCGCTGGTACGAGCTGAATCGCCCACTGACGCAGAGTTTCAATTATGGAAATTTACAAGAAAGCTCAAACGGCAGCCAATACGACGTCATCCCATTCGGAGCATTTCTGGTTCCTGGCACATTGGAGACGAAGCTCAAGCTGAGGCTTTTGCAAACCACCTTCAAGACCAATTCACGCCGGTGATTACCGCAGAGGCCTCAGAAATCGAAGCAACAGAAGACATCGTTCTCTCGCCCCTCCCAGCTGAAGACCAGATAACTGGATGTACAAAAGAAGAGGTTCTTGAACACATCAGAAGAGTGAAGGCAAAAAAATCCCCTGGATATGATCTAATAAACGGCAGAGTCCTTAGAGCACTGCCTGACTCCACCATAGACTACATAACTATGGTGTACAACGCCATGCTCCGCATCCGGCACTTTCCAGCCTGCTGGAAGCGCGCCGTGATTGTGATGATTCCTAAGCCTGGCAAACCCGTGGGAGAAATTGAGTCGTACAGACCAATTAGCCTGTTGCCAGTACTCTCCAAAATATTCGAAAGAATATTTCTGGAACGAGTACTGACACATCTGGGACGCCAGGAGGCCATTCCAAACCATCAGTTTGGCTTCAGGAGACAGCATGGAACACCGGAACAGGTTCACAGAGTTGTGCACCATATCCTTGGAGCCTTTGAAGAAAAGATGTACTGCTCTGCCGTCTTTTTAGACATCAAACAGGCGTTTGATCGAGTTTGGCACCTGGGACTGCTGCAGAAAGTGAGGACCACCCTTCCAGCCCCATTTTTCGCGTTGCTATCCTCATACCTTATTGGAAGAACCTTCCAAGTGTCAAGGGGGCAAACAGTATCCTTGACTAGACCAATTATGGCTGGAGTACCACAGGGTAGTGTTCTAGGCCCAACACTTTATACTTTATTCACAGGAGATATGCCAACTCCCGAGCCAAATATAGGAAGTACAGATGCAGTACTCATAGCGACCTATGCAGATGACACCGCCATCTTATCACGTCACGTATCTGCGCAAGAAGCTTCAGACTCACTACAAAAATATCTGGACTCTTTCGGACGCTGGGCAAAACGGTGGTGTATCACCATTAATGCACAAAAGTCTGTACATACTACCTTCGCCACTAGAAGAGGAGATTGCCCAAGCGTTGCATTGGGGCCCACTATTCCCAAAGCCTCAAAAGTAAAGTACCTTGGTATCACTCTTGACAGAAGGCTGACTTTTAAAGCGCACATAAGTCAAGTAACCTCAAAATGCAAAAGCAAGCTAAAAACCCTCGACTGGATGCTGAGAGCTTCAAGCAAGTTGTCTTACAGCAGCAAGGCCGCCATCTACAAGGCAATAGTTGTCCCAACCTTCGTATATGGTATCTCTCTATGGGGCTCCTCGGCGAAGACTACAAGGAACAAAATTCAGACCCTGCAGAATAAAGCACTACGCAGATGGACTGGAGCCAGCTGGTTTGTAAGAAACTCAGTCTTACATAGGGATTTAGCAATTCCCACAGTTGCTGAACTCATTGGGCGACACAGTTCAAGATACGCGGACAGACTTGCAGCGCATCCTAACCATCTCGCAAGCAACCTGGCTATAAACAACAATAGGCGAAGACTGAAGAGATTGCATCCTCTAGACAATATTAGAACTAATTAAGATAGTAGCTACAAGTGCAGAATAATTGGCATATCTGCCCTCCCATTAGTTAAGGTTTAGAGCTAAATGCGCTATAGAGTCTAAGACAATAAGCTGCAACAAAATAAAGAAATAAAAACGAAAAAAAAAAAAAAAAAAAAAAAAAAAAAATTGAGCCAGCCCTTATGTGTTCAACTCTGTTATGTACCAGCACCAGCAGCAGCGGCTGGCGAGACATACATATGTACATACACATTGTCTCTACGTAGTACGTGCGTGCATGAGGTTTGTCTGTGTTCGTATGCGTGTGCGCTCTTGTGTGATGCCATCGTCGATATTGAAAGTATGTATGTATGTATGAACATTGTACATAATACGACGTATCGACGTTGGTTTGTACGGTACGAATCGTTGAAAATTGCTTGGGTTTGCGAACAACGGGACGAAGATCTGATACGAAGTGATTCTTTTTTCAGTTAATTCTTTATATATATACATATATACGTTAATACGTACTATACACATATATATTCATGAATGTATGTACATATCATTTTCATTTTTCACGGAACAAATATGGCTGCACAGAAACTTGCGTTGAAAACGCTTACGCTGCTCACATTAAAGCTTATTAAAACTTTTCACATTCACACCAATTATATATATACTATATATATATATAAATATATATATATATATATACATATATACATATATAAATGTACACATATGTACGTAAGTATACATGTATTTCTGGTTTTTTAATCAAATATTGAAAGAACGAACGACCATTAAATGCTGACTGGCTGATTGGGGAGCGTAGATTCCGTTTGCGTTGCCGTTTGTTGGTTTGAGTGCGTGATTACGCCATTTTCTTTACTCTTGCACGCCCAATTTCACATTTACCTCTTTGTTAAATTTTTGTATTTATTGCTTTGCACACGCGTACACTGTGTTAGCGAATTATTTAAAGTGTTTTATATATAATATTTATATATATCACTATTAGCTATATTTTCCCTTTAATGATTTTTTAAATGCATTTGTTAAAACTTATAAGTTTTCACCACTACCACACACACGACTTGTCGACAGACTCGCTGAAGTTAAGGAGATGGCAATATCTCGATATTTCACAAACGATGATATTTCTACTATCGTTAATTATTCTAAACAAACATACCTTATCGATATTACAAAATCTGTAAATTATATGTTTTTAATTTCGTCATAAAACAAATATGATTTATATAGTGTGATGTTTGTTTTGAGATATGAACGCAAAAGTTTATATTAATTTCCTTTTAGTGGAGTTTAAGTATTTCCTTACATTAACAGCACATTTCAAGTATCGATAAGATGCAGAATGCTTATTAAAGAGTTGAGATGGTTATGATACGAAAAATTGATCAAGTAAAAGTAAAATGTAATTTTAATATATACGTATTTAAAATTTTTAAAACAATTAGATTATAGAAAATATTCTACCATCAATCGATTGCTAACATTTGGTACCAGCACAACAGCTGAGCTCTGTTGATGTAATGTTAACATTTCGCTTTTTAACCAGCTGCTAAAAACCATTTGCAAATGTTAATCAAGATGTTGACTCCCCCAATGAGATCACGATATGTCTTCCATGACTTTCTTATATATATATATATATATATATATATATATATATATATAAGTATGTCAGATTACTTATTTGTATATACATTAAAATTAGGGAAATATGCAACTTTTTATCAGCTATAAGTTTCGCCTAATAAGCATTTAATCGGTTGGATTTTGAATAACAATAAGAATAAAGTCCTTGTCAGGTGCGACCATAATTTCATGTTTCTTGGACCGCACTCGCAGGAATGTCATATCGTTGGATGGGTCGAGATCGCGCACCACACTCCGCGCTTTGTCGGCCAGTTGACTCATCAAACCCGCGTATTGAACGGTTGTTGTGTTGTCAAGCGTTGATTTAACTGGAATACCTAATAAGCCAACTCTGCGTTACTAAGGCAATGAATGAAATGAATGAAATTTTAAACACACCTTCATTGTTGACAACAATTGTTCCGACGACACCTTTATGGCTTTGGATTCGTTTCAGCGTTTCTTCTACTTCTTGCGACTGTCAGTAAAAATTAATATAAATTGATTTCTTAATGTTTTGCCATTTATTTACCATTTTAACTTAGAATGTAGTTCAATCCCTTGCAAATTGAATGTTTTGCAAAAAAAAATAACTTTTGTTTGCTCGATACGGTGGTGTGACCACCTAGCAAGAAGAGAAAAAAACCATATTTAATAAAAAATACTAGTCCAATGTTATTTATTATTATGCCTTATGCAATATTTTTTTGAACTAGATTTATTTAAAAAAATTAAATATAATTTCTGTTCAACATTTGAACATTTACAATAAAAATACCATTTACTTAAGATATCTGCATGCGGGTCACACTGAACACCGGTATTTGACCTGCAGACCTATATAACAGTCGTTAGCTCTATAACTTATCCATGACAACCCAAAAAAAAAAACGTATAATAGACATTGACCGAATTAATTGATTAATCATGATTAAAGCTGCTCCAGAAAAGGTATAACTGATTTCAATTAGAATCTCAACATTTAAAGCAAAATAATTATTTATCTATAGCCACCACGAACGAGGCAATATGTGGAAGAAGCTTTTCAACAAATTCAAAAGAAGAAAAACATTCGTGATATTGTTATTGTAAACGAATTGGGACATCCAGTAAAAAGCACTATGGAGTTTAAGTCGTCTGTCAAATTTGTAGGCCTCTTTCAAGAGCTTCGAGGCAGAATCGAGCGAGGAATGGAACACATTGATCCAAGTGATGAACTGTTGATGCTACGGGTACGCACTAAACCCACGAAGTTTTGTTAGTGCCAGACGCTAAAATAACTGTAATTGTTGTGCAGAATGCAGATAAATAAAGTTGATAGCATTTTAGTGACAGTAAAATTTTCTTATAAATATTGAATTTGAATTAGATGCCAACCGGGCTAAACTCCACTCCACTTTGTTGCACTTTTGCGTTAACAGGAGTACTCTTTGCGTTAACAGCGCAATCGGTTTCACGTTATCGATGTTGTGCTCGGTCTAGTATTTTTGACATATAGCGCTGTTATAAAAGTAGATTAACTCTGCTTTGGCTTTGTTATTAATCAAACTTTAGCTACATATTATGATTGTTGCCAATAAGAAATAATTTAAAATGTTAAATTAATTTTTGTATTTATTGATTCAGTTAACAACAATAATTGAATTCAGTTAACAATTTGTAAAATGTAGTAATGTCATTTACAACATTATTGGCTGCGCTGTTAGTATCATGTTCGTAAACTGTTAAGTTAACATACGAAATGAACGGGAGGCAAGCCCAACACATACGTACGCAGAGTTTTGTTGTGTTCGGTCGGTGTGCTATTTACGTCGTAATTAAAGTAAGAGCAAAAATACTAGCGCGTAATTAATTAATCAAATTTGTACGACTTTGCTCAAAGGTGTGCAAATTGGTTCGTTTTTACCGCGCGGCGATGCTAAAGTGAATGCTGACGTCGCGGCAAAAGTTGATGACGTCGCGCTTCAGCCTAAAAAGGCGTTGACAAAACAAACTTGAAAACGGAACGCAAAGCAAATGCAGACATAAAAGCACAACAACAAAATAAAAAGAAACACCTGAAAAATTCGGTCTCAAACGCAGATACGATAGACGCAAAGCAGAAGTAGATCAAATATATTGTTTAAGCAAATATTCAACTATACTCGTATTCGTATTCCTATTCATACTCGTGTGTGAGTGTGTGTTTGTGGGTCTTTGCAATATAAGATTGTGCAAGTGTGCGAATCAGAAATAGAATTTACAAACGAACGCGACACCCACACAAAACGTACGGTAAATGCAGCGCCGCAAAAATGAGCAGCATAACGCTAAACGAAATGGTCAACGTGACACAGCTGGATTTACACGATCTATTAGAAACTTTCGAAAAAAAATCATTCGAGGCGGTAGCCTTTGAGGAAGGCACAACGGTAAGTCAAAAGCCTGTAACGTCAAAAAGCCTGTAGGCGCCGCACGTGCACGTGCAGTAACATTTCCGCTAACAGTGCTGAACATTGCCAAAAAGAAAATGTAGACGGGGTAGGGCGTGCAGGGATGTTGCTTAAATTCGCCTTAACAGCAAAATTTACTTGTAACCCACCCCTGTCCTTTCCCTTCATGTAGCCGCGCCCAATGGACTGAAACGTAACCACTGCTCTAAATTATTTTCAATTGCTATCTCCCTCTAAACCCCAATGCTCTGCTTAATGGAAATCGATGAAAGCATCTTAAGATTTGCACGTTTTATATCAACAGCCAAAAAAAAAAACACGTAAAACTACATACATATGCTCGTCTGCTGCTTGTTCTTCTTTAACTTGACATGCTTTGCCATCGTTTCGAGTTACGGTTATGTTTGTTGCTAGTCAATTACAACATTTACGACTTTTACAACAAACAGTTGACACGCACTTGACTAATTTGTTTGTTGGCCCCATTTTCCCAATATTTCATTATTTATGTGGGCTGCATAAAATTACGTTTTATGAGGCAAAAAGTTCGATTGCGTTTATATATATAACAAAAAGTCAATTTACTTTTATATATACAAATATATATAATATACAAATCGACTATCGCAAAAAAAACCAAACCCATTTGCAAGATTTGTGGGGCGTACAGCAATACTCTTGGTCATTTCTGTTGCATCTTCGATATTCTCTGTTAACTTCCTGTTAACCTGCATGTTAATTGACCGCTAAACGCTAGCCGGCAACAATAACAACATGTGTAAATGCACATGCAAATGAGCCTGTAAGTGTGTGGGGGAGAGTAAGACAGTGAGAGAGGGGCAGAGAGCGTATTTATTTATATATGCAAATGAAAACCGCAAACAGTTGGCAACAGCGAAACAACAAATGCCATACAAACGTGTGTATTACAAAACTTGGCACGTAACAGCAACGAGTCAACTAAAACGCTGCTACCGTTCCCCTTCCCTTTCCCACCGCCTCAATGCATTTACTCAGCTGCAATGCAATAATGATAAGCGCAAATGCTTTGCAATAAATCGAAGTGAATTCGAAAGAAATATCCAAATGTTTGCGCTGCCTGTTGCATTGTTGCAGCTGCACTCTAAACTTTAGAATGTTGTGCACATTATCTATTCTCTTGTACTTGTTCGTTTATCAAACACTTTTGGCGCTTATCAGCGCTGAACGCAACTAGTTTCTTATCAGCGCACAACTTTGTCAGCGCAAAAAAGAAAATAAAAAGAACTAAAGAAAATAAAGAAGGAGGAATGTTAAATGTGAATGTTCTTTCTCTAGCATTTATTTTCTTTTTTATTTAAATTAAATATTGTAAAAAAAAACCTAATGAACTCAAAATACCCTTGTGATGTACTTATGTATGTATGTATGTAAATCTGTCTCACAATCACAAATTGAATTATTTTATAGCATATCAATTGAACACGTACGATCTGTACGTGTTTCAGAGCTTTAGAAAAATTCAGTTTGTAGTCAAATTAACTATTTAAACAAAGCAAATTTGATGTTGTAATTTTTACATATATTTGTTTTTTTCTTTTGTATTATTTAAGCCATACGAACTGAAAAGGAAGTAATTCAATATTTTCAGTAATATTTTGTGTAGTTTCAGTATTTCTGAAGTGAATTAGAAAAGGTTTTTATAAGCAACTTGAAAAAAAAAAACAAGTGTGCCTCCGACTACTTAATACCCGCTCACGGTCTCAGAATAATTAAATCATTTCCGGCTAATCTCAAGATGTCAAATCTGGCTTCAATTTCTTCGAACATTTCGAAGACGAAATTTCAAGTCTCTGAATCCAAATTATACTGTACAGTACCTGTGGTAGCAGCTGGACAACAGGGCGTAAATAGTATTAAAAAATTATATATATTATATATATAAAATCTGTTACAGCTACTTGCATAGGTCTTGCAAGTTTGGACTTACATTTAGAAAACAATATTTTAGAATTCGCTTTTCGTCTGAATTTATTGCTTGTTGCTTATTGTTTATTGTTTTGCTTTGTTGTGCACTCGTCAATCAATCAAACAGCAATCATTATAAAGTGATTAGACCCGTATCAATACTCTACTTTATAAATACAACCCAAGTTTCTTATCAAAAAAAAGAAGAAGAAGCAAAGCGCCTGCACCTCATATGACGCTAGCTGCATTTTAATTTGAAACTTTTCGTATTTTTGTTGTTTTCTTTTCTTTGTTTAAAGTTGTTTACTTAACTGCTTCTATTTTTTTTTTGTTTTTTGGTTTTGTTTTCGTTTGTGTTTCTGTTTTTTTACTTAAGGTTTAATTTTGTAGAAATTATTTATAGCTTTAATGCTGGCACGTGAGCAAACAATTTGCGTTTCAGTTTAATTTTGAATGGGCGCCAGATCAAGTCAGAACTGACTGAACAGGGATCAAAGTTTAATTTCAGGGTATTACATAAGCGCATATATATAAAGAGACTTTATATTTATTTTTATTATAGAGAAAGACTTGTAAATACTCATGGCAAAGTAAAACAACAGCTTTACGACCAGAACTAGAATGGGTAGAGAACGATCATTAATAGACTGAGAGTAGCACGATCTGCGAGTTCTAAAAAATTAAAAACAAAGCAAATAAATTATATAAGAAATACTCCTAATATACATATATAAATTGCAACTGTTTGATATTCACAAAGGGTCGAAATAATCCCAATACAATTAAAGCTGCTCTAGATACCCGTTCAGAGCATATCAATGGCATCTATCGATTATTATCGATAATAGATAATAAGATGATCTATTGAAAAAAACAGAAAAGTCTCTACACCCTGTTGTGGTATACGAGATTGCTGTGGACGGACAGGTGGACATGAATATATATACCCTGAAAATCCATTCTCTACAGATAACTTAACTATCTAAAGTCCACATACGAAGTTAGGCAGCTGTACATCTTGTAGTCATCTATGTTATGATATATTTGTATATATATAAATATATATTAGAATATGCAATTTCAAACAGATAAATATACTTAACTTATAGATTGAATAGTTATATCTGTGCAATAAGAGAAAAATGTTTTGCTTTTTATACGGACAGATGAATGGTGATCAAATTGACCATTGCACAAAGCCAATATACTCTTTTTACTCTCCTGAACGAGTATAAAATGAATCCCTCTGTCTAACCCGATTTCTTATGAAGAATAAAACCAATTGAACTTGTTACACATCAAGATATTTGAACATTGTATTTTAAGCACATCTAAAAAAAAAAAACATTGTATTGTATACATTTATATATATATATATATATATATATATATATATATATAGATGTAGATCCAAGATTTGTATAGTTTGCAGTAGACATCAGATGTTCGTCTGATCGATGGATCGATTGATCTAATTGTTTTGCATAGCCCGCTTCAGCTCGAACTCGAAGTCATCCATCTCGAGATCGAACCCATCACATCTAACGGCACAGCCGTCCTTATGAGCTTCTGCTGTGCCCAGAGTATTAGCTTCACCAGGAACATCATTTTGGGCTCCATGCACGCAGTATGACCGCCTCTGCGCAGAGCCGAGTCGAGCTCACGTTTCTCCTCAACGGAGCGCTGTGCGGTCCGTTCCATGTCTAGTTCTATGTTCGTCTTACTGGAGACGCTGTTCTTATAGTTGTTGCTCTCGCGTATTAGCTCAATGAGGTGCAGCTGCTGCATGTGAAAGTACATGTAGTTCTCGCTCTCAAATAGTTTCGGGTACAGCCGCTTGGCCATGTCGATGGCATATTGAACCTGAGCGGTGCGCACAGCGTTCTTGATGCGCTTCTGATATTCCACTGGGTCCAGCTGTGTCGTCTCCGAT